CTCTAAGCACCTGAGAGAGAACCTCCCATAACATTGCGTTGTGCCATACCCAACAGAAATAACCCAGGTGGATAACATTTACAATCAGGAGCTCCTCAGTTGCTCATTCCACCATTGAGTTTACAATGACTTATGGGTAGAAAAGCCACACTAAGTAATTTACTACACTGAAGTAACCCTTATAATATTCTTACAAGATGTAAATTATACCCATTTTACAAAGTAATAGTGGTGACTATCAAGTTGCATAGCAGAAGATGAGGTGAGGCACTCTGGGTTAAAAGAGAAACCTAAGCAAAGGGGCAGGGGGGACATGGAGTGGAGCAGGCAGGTGACTGGCCTGACTAGAGCTGAGAGTTCATGTTGGGAAGTGTGGGAAACAAATGATATAGGTTTTCTGGGGCCAAATTATGAAGGCTGTCGAACACCAGACAGAGGAATTGAGATACATTGACTCTGAGGAACAGAGAGAAGGATTGGGGGAAATGGGGAAGAAGGGCAAGCCATCATCTTTATACACTTTTACGTTGCTTTAATTTGTTACAACAACTCCCAAGTACTTTTGCAAGTAAAAAAGGTGAGGTAAAAATATTCAACAAACATATTTAAGCTCTTACTGTATGCTGAGTATTGAACCATTGATTTCCATCATATGAAAGATCACCATATCATACTTGAAGTTGAACAAAGTTGAAATTGGGTTTATTGGCTTATTACAATGAGGAGGAACCTATGCCTTATAAATCATGGTGTATCTCAGAGGGTTAGAAAGTAGTTATGATCTGGGCTTGTGTGAGGTGAATTTGGGGTGAGTTTTTCTCTGGATATTGTCAGAAAGTAAAGGATAATTCTATGATTTGGCATTTTAGTTTTTATCTATAAGGCAGTTGTAATGAAGTTGGCTTAAAGCTGTACTTGGTAAGGAAAAAGTAGTCACTACTATTAGACAGAAAAGGAGGATGTTTGGCCTTTTTTTTTTTTTGGTGGTTTGGACAGTGCTCCTGTTTTTGACTCTGCTCAGATGTGGTTGTGGAGCAGTCTTGATCCATCCCAATCACAGAGTGGGCTTGTCTGACATTGGTGTTCTGTGAGATTATGTTCCACAGAGAACACTCTGCCAGTTTAGCTGTGAATGGCAGCCCAGCTCTTGGCCACGTCAGGACCTGAAAGTGTTAGGCCAGTTCCTGGTTGTCAAAAACTGCCTCTGTCTGTCTCACTGTGTATTAGGGATCCAGAGATGAAAAAGTCAATTCCCTTCCTCAAGGTTATCCCTCAAAGGGAGGCACATGTAAATAAATAAATTACACCATAATGTGGTAAGTATAATGATGGAACTGTTAAAGCAACTTCAACAAATTACTGTTTAGCATGTATCAAAGTTTTATTTCAAACTTGTGACAAGGGAACTATGCCTCTAAAAAATCTGTTCAAAGAGTTTCTTCTGGTCATAATTTTTTCCCCCTTCTTTTTTTTTTAAAAAAGTGATTAGATAATATTGTTAGACTAAGTATAAGAAAGGAGCATCTGTTAAAGGGTTAGAAATGTACGGTGACTGATTAAATATCACTGCACCTTAATCATTCAGTACACTTTACTAGGCTTGCTTTAAAACCAATGGTATATTAAAGTCTAACTTCCCATGGAAATAATGGACACATACTCATGTTGTTCTTCACTAAAACTTGGAAGTATGCACATCTTTGACTTACGAATTTTGACTTATTCTCATTCTACACAGGACATTTCTCAGGGCAAATTTCATGTCCTTATTACGAAGACTGTAGATCAGGGGATTAAAGAGAGGAGTCATTACTGAATACATTAGTGTGAGAATCTTCTGCATCAAAGTCGGGATGCCACATGTAGGACTCACATACATTACCATGACTGTCCCATAGAAAAGACACACCACAACTAAATGAGAACCACATGTGGAGAAGGCCTTTCGCCGGCCAACTGCAGAGGGGACCTGAAGAACAGCTCTGAGCAGCAGAGTATAGGATCGAAGAATATACATGACAGTGAAAAAGAGGACGAGGGAGCTCTGAGTATAGAAAATAAATTCAGCAATAGGGGCTGGGGCGCAGGCCAGAGCCATGAGTGGGTCCATGTCACACAGGAAGTGATCGATGATATTGGGACCACAGAAGGGAAGTTGGGAGATAAAGAAAATTGGAATTGGGTAGCCAAGGAACCCAGTGACCCAGCAGAGAGACACCAGCATTCCACAGAGTCTCCCAGTCATGATGGTGGGGTAGTGCAGTGGGCGGCAGATGGCCAGGTACCGATCATAAGCCATTATTGCCAGGAAGAGACATTCAGTAGTGCCCAGGGAAAAGAAGAAATAGAACTGGAGGAAGCAACCAGAAAATGAGATGGTCTTGGTCTTGGAGAGAATGTTGGCTAGCATGTTGGGAACAGTGGAGGAAACATACCAGATCTCAAGGAAGGCAAAATTTCCAAGTAGAAAGTACATGGGGGTGTGGAGTCGTGGGTCCCATCTCACTGCACAGATGATGGCTGCATTCCCCAGTAGGGTCAAGACATAAACCACCAGAAGCAATGAGAAGAGGAAAATCTGTACCTCCCAGCAACCACGGAATCCGAGGAGAACAAACTCAGTCACATTGTGTGTTGCTGACTGGTTCATGTGTCATAAACCTAAGAAGAAGAAAGAAATGAGTGTAATCCAAGTTTCTCTGCTTTCTATGCATGTCACAGGCTTATTCTATATAGGAAAATACGTAACATATTCTGAGATCAGCTGGGAACAAATCCCACCTTATTTTGAATGATTGTGGCTCTAACTCTCAGTATTATTTTGGCAGAATCCAATGCAGCTAGAATTGTCCATGCCTAGTATAACCAGATGAATGTTTCCCTCTTTTTATGCGTAAGACCTTTTCTGCTTTTGTGTTTCCACTGTAGGTAATAGGTCTTTGTGCACAAACTCATCCATTTATTCTTATCTAACCCACTTTGTTAAAAAACAAAACAAAACAAAAACCGGAAGCAAGAACATATAGTTAGAGGACAGCTGGTGTGAGATTGGCAAAAGAATTAGCTCACTGATATATGGAGATAAGACTCACACCAGGACACTGTGCTTTTGGAGTAGTCTAACTCCATTGTCAGACATCACAACACCCAAAGCTTAGGGCTGTTCTTCAATTAAAAGCTTTTTTTTTTTTTTTTTAAATCTTAATGCTAATAGTTGAATGACACCTAAAACCAAATCAAAACAAAACAAAACAAAACAAAAACCCTTGCACAACAAATATCTTTGATCTAAAATAAGGACAAGTGAGAATATTATTTTTCAAATATCTCTAAATTTTCCAAGTGTTTATTTTCAGACTTTTTTTTTTTTAAATTGTGATTTGGTTGAAAGTTTACAGAGCAAATTCACTTTTCATACAGCAGTTCACACACATGTTGTCTCATGACATTGACTACAATTTACCCCAATGCAATAGCTCCCCTCCCACTTCCTCCCCATAGTTACCTCTTCCCTGTGTCTATCCCTCCATACACTCCTGCCCCCTGAGCTGTCTCTCTGTGCATAAACAGCCCTTCTTTCTCTCATGATTGTTCTTTCCAAGGAGTGTATCTACTTCAGGTACATGGTTAACTCATATGCCTGTCTTTT